TGACCAGCTCAGTACAACTCTGACCTGTCAGACTCTGAGACTTTGTACCCTAACAGTATTTTGGCAATGCCAGGAACACTGCTCTTCAGATACTTCTCATACCTCTGCCTGCCTCCACAAACAGTCACATATTTACACCACAAACTTCTGATTTGATTCTAACTGTAAGTGACTTAAACATGGTAACTTTTCCTGTTTGGTTTTAGTTGCTAAATCTGTTTCTTTTGCTGTGTTTTTTTTTGTTTGGTTTTATTCTGCATCCCTCCCTGTCCCCAGGGTCTGCAGTAGGGATGCAGATTGGCAATCCTTACCATTCAGCTTTTGATTAATCCTTAGATTTCCACCCCTAATATGCTTTAAAAGGTGGGTTTACAGCAAATGCAGCAGGTGAACATTGCAAGAGGCTTTTGCCTGAACTGCTCAGCAAAAGATGATCCAGTCTGGGTTTAGTGGGCTCGCTTTGCATGCCTGGCTCTGTAACCCTCAGCCCACTCATACCAGCTTGCACCTGGTGATAATCTGTGTTTCAAAGAAATGTCATTTATAGAAAACTAACCACAGTGGGATTCTAAGAAAATGGTTGTAACCATTAAAAAATGGAGGGAGATGAAAATGTCTTGGACTTCTAGAATTTTTATTTGTTGGTTGGACCTTAATTTAAAGTTCCCTCTTTCAGTGTTGAAACATTGGCAATCTCTCTGGGGACAGCAGCAGGTTTTTTTATCTCCTACCTGTGAGTTCAACCTGCTTTGTGAACAGTAGTTTAAAAGTGGGCTTTACTTTGCCTTTTACCATTCTTGAGGGAAGTGTGACACTTATCTTCTGTTCTTTCAGTCATGTCCCTTGTCTCCCTGCCAGGAAGAGGGAAAGGAGAGCAGGGGCTCTTGTTTGAGTACTAGTAGTTGGTAGATACCTTTTGAGCTGTGGCAGTATTAGCCTTATCTCATGTGTAGCTTCTTCCTCAATTTCAAGTCCTCTTGCCAGTTTTATGTTATCATGTTTTAAATGTTATCAGCAGTGCTGTGTATTTGAATTCCATTTGCAGCACAGCATCTCCTTGGACTTGCATTTGTGGACATGCACCTAAACTGATTTGAAACCTGTGCTGTGAATTGCTGTATACAGAAGGTGTTTAACAGCATTTATTCACTGCAAGGAAAATATAGATTTGAGCTGTTGTCATACATCAAAACTTGGTTTTGTGTCTTTCATGCCAATTATATTTGAGCAGTTGGGAAGTAAATAAGACTGAAGGGGCAGAGAGGTGTTTTCAGTAAACAGGAGAAAGGATATTCCTCTTTATACAGAAATGAGGTGGTCAGATGAGAGATTACAGAGAGGTGGGTGTGTGTCTGAGCTGGGCTGACAGGATGCAGAGCTCTTTCCTATCACAAGGTAAGTCAAAAAGGTGATAACGGCGACCAGGACAAAACAAACCCAGTGATTTTTTTCAGCAGAACCAAATCTGCACCACTGTTTCTAGTCAGAAATAAAACTTCCAAGAGTTTCCAGTGAAGGAGGAGGTTTGAAACTAACCCCTCTTGTCCTTCTCTTGCAGAGCGTGTAACCCTTGAGGAGCTACTATGAGCTTACTCTACAGCGACAGCGGTTGCGGGGCGCGGGACGCGGAGGGCGGCTGCTGTGCAGCCATGGCCAGTGCCTGCAGCACGGGGGCCAAGGAGGACAGCGTCAGCACTGGGGCTCCAAACCCTCCAGGCTCTTTCACAGAGGAAACCCAAGGCTACGACGTGGAGTTTGATCCCCCCTTGGAAAGCAAATACGAGTGTCCCATCTGCCTGATGGCTCTCCGGGAGGCGGTGCAGACGCCCTGTGGACACCGGTTCTGCAAAGGCTGCATTGTCAAGTCAATCAGGTAAAGGAGGATGGGGGAGAGTGGCTGTTGAGGAGAAATCACCAAGGCAGAGCAGTTCAAGGGCCTTGGCAACTGGGGAGAACTCCTTAGGGTGTGTTACCAGTGAGTGCTCGCAGAACAGTCGCAAATTTATAACTCATTAAAGATGCTTTCTGATCAACCCCACGTGTGGCCAAAATGTCATGAGTGTGGAGGCTGAGCTTCAGCTATTTTGCCATTTATACAAAATGACCCAGATTATGTATCTAAAAATTTCATAGAATCATAGAATCCTTTAGGTTGGAAGGGACCTCCAAGATCATCAAGTCCAACCATCGAGCCACCAGGACTCCAAAGTCCGCTGCCAAAACAGATCAGAATCTGTCAGGGTTGGAAGGGACCACAAGGATCCCCCAGTTCCAACCCCTCTGCCATGAGCAGGGACCCCTCCCACTAGATCAGGCTGCCCAGCGCCTCCTCCAGCCTGGCCTTAAAGACCCCCAGGGATGGGGCCTCAACCACCTCCCTGGGCAACCCATTCCAGGGTCTCACCACTCTCCTGGGGAAGAACTTCTTCCTCACATCCAGCCTAAATCTGCCCACTGCCAGCTTTGCCCCATTCCCTCTAGTTCTGTTGTTACTTGAGATCCTAAAAAGTCCCTCCCCAGCTTTCTTGTAGGCCCCCCTAATTTGAGTAAACATGAAATAATTAAAAAACATAGCCAAATCCACCAAATAAATTCCATTTTCAGCCCAAGGTAATAAAACCTTTTTTCCCCCTCTGATTGCTCATCTTGATGATTACAGGCAACTGCAGACAAGGTGGTTTCTTGGTGCAGATAGGATTCATGCTTTCAGTTCTTCACTTGAGATCAGCTGCTGCCTTGTTAAGTTGGAAGGGAGGGTGTAATGAGGAAATAGTCACAAATAAAATGGAGAGAGAGGAAATGAGGTGGCTTGTGGGGGAGTGGGAAGGAGATGTGAAGGCAGGAACAGGCTGGGCTCGTAAAAAGGAATGAGCAAGGAAGGGCAGGAAGAACACTGGTAGCTTGTTCTTCCCTCAAACCTGGAATCCAGTCATCAGCATCTTACACGTGTCACTGAGTACTGGGACACCTTGATAGAAGGCTGGATGTTCTGCTGTAGGGGCTTTCCTTCTCAGCATAAGCCAGATTTTTTTGTTGGGAATTGCTCACTTAGGTCAAATGTAAAAGCACTTTGGTAGGAAGCTAAATATTTAATTCTTTGTGACCCACATAGAGATTAGGTTCATTTCAGAGTCACAGGATGGGAGGGGTTGGACGGGACCTCTGGAGATCATCTTGTTCAACCACCCACAGCTGAGTGCCCAGGATCACATCTAGGCAGGTTTTGAAAGTCTCCAGAGAAGGAGACTCCACTGCCTCTCTGGGCAGCCTGCTGCAGAGCTACATCAGCCTCAAAGAAGCTTTTCCTGGAACTTCCTGTGTTCCATTTCCAACCTTATTTTCACACCTTCATGTAAAGACCATGGAAGTGTCTTCAATATTACTGTACAACATTATTTTTCCAGGCATTTAGTTTTAGCATGCAAAATGGACAGTGCTTTCTTGATTGGTTTTCCATGCCATTTATCCATTTAGAGTCCCATCTTTTTCTCCATGGTCCATCATTTGTAGCTCAATAAATGGAGTTCCAGCAACGATATTTTCTGAATACAGTTTTTTGGTGGGCTTCTCTGTAGCTGCATTAGTTGGATCAGTATTTCTGAGAAAAGGCTGTAAATTGATCATCCAGAAAAGGCAGAATGCCACCAGGGTTCACCCATGGAAAGTGACTGGCCTGTGGATTGTGCAGAGGAAGCTGAGTGTGGGTTCTCCACTAACCATGCCATGACATCACCCTGCTCATGTAGTCCCTTGCCTTGTTCCCTGTGTTGCTGCTTCTGCAAGAAGAGCATGTCAGGCCTTGCCCAGTTGCATCACTCGATGGTGTTGACATCAGCTGGGTATATGGAAGAAGGCCAAACAAGGCTGACCTGTCAGCTTTCACTGTGATCCACTTCCCCAGGCACAAGCTTCACTTTCTGGCCTTTGCTTTGCCCATTCCAACCTCAATTCTTTTAAGAATTTAACATACATCATTTCATACCTACTTTGTAAGTGCTAAATTAGACTTTTATACTAATAAATGCCATTAAATTTTGGAATTCCTTACTTGCTACTGCCAACAGAGCAAGCAGGTTTTATTTTCTTCCTTCTTTCAGCAAAAAACATTGAAGAAATCTTTAAACCTTCTCAAATCAGCTTTAGAAAGTTCTACTCACCAATCATTTCAAAGACACCAGAATTCCTAGGTTGAAAACTGAAGGGAAAAATGGCTAAACTTAAAATTGCCAAAAATGGATATTTCCAATCTTTCAGATCCTCAACAGCTCAGGTTGCCCTGTTTTCAAATCCTGCTGTTGCTGAGCTGCACAGTTAAGGTCATTGGTTAGAATTTACCACAGGACTGAGTGAGGAACTGCAGTGAACCCACACTCAGAACACATCTCATAGCAGGTAGAGAAACTTCCTCCTTAAACCCCAGCCATGGGAAATGGTTTCTCTTCCTTTTTGAATTAACAGAGCATTTGCCAAGCTCAACATTTTTCCATACTCTGTTTCAATCACCAGAACTTTTGCTTCTTTTACACCCTTTTTTCCTATTTTACTACATTTCTGGAAGTAGTGTTGATTGTTTCATTGAGTACTAGGCATGGGTGGAAAGCATTTTTCATTTTGGAGCCTGTTATAGTGTCTGCAGGGCAATATTGATTTGGAGTATGTGATGTCTACAGTAGTGCCTTGATTGATGTAATTGACAAGCTTCTACAGAACTAAAATGGAAATGGGAAGTGATTTTTACATTCCTTAAGTCCTGTTTTTTTTTCATTAAGTGATTGTCACAGACTTTAGTAGACTAGGAAGAAATTGCTTCTGTTTATTCCTCATATCTGCATGATCCAGCTCAAGTGAACACAGATGAAGGATTTTAAATGATAAAGGATGGACAAGCAATTTTGGAATAGTTGCTTTTTATCACTTAGACAAAAAAAAAAACCCTGTAGTTGTCCATGCTGAAGAAGTTGTGGCTGCAAAGAGGAAGGTGTCTTCAAAAAGGTTCTCAGGACTGGAGTCTTAGGTTTTCCCATGTGAGGGACAGGATTAGACCTGATGGATTTGATCACAGGGAATATTTGCCTCCTAGAAGGTCTTGGCATCCTTCTAAAAGCAAGCTGTGTGAAGTGCTTTCAAGTGCTATGAGTTCATGGTAGTGAAGAAGCTCATCTACCAAAGGAACTACAAATAATAGTGTGCAAATGTTGCTGTCTGCAAAGAACTTGATAAGAAATTTTAGAAGAACTAATCTCAGATGAAATAGCTAAATAAATTTCACTCTAGTCTTTCTTCCATAACATCTGAGGTCAAAGCTGACTTAGGGCTTGTAGTAGAGCTCACCAAATATGAGAAAAGCAGCATTATGAGCTGACATGGGGCAGCAGGGAAAGCTTTGGATGCAAGCAGATCATCAGACAGGTGGCATGGCTGAGGTTCAAGTGTGTCCCAACTCTTCTGAACTATTCAGGTTGGTTTTAAACTGCTCACAGAGCAGGCCTCTTCTTCAAACACAAATTATCCTGGTTTTACTTTTCATACCTATATTTTAATGTCAAGGCAAATCATGGGAAGATTCTTTGTACTTTGTAGCAGATAATTATTCTTTCACAGGTCCTCTTGTGGATGACACAGCCTGATGGGACAAATAATTCCAGTGTGGGACAGCCTCCAGTGCAATGTCAATTAGAACTGAGGTGCCTAAACTCAATTTCTGTGATAGGAAATGTATAACAACATCTTCCTTTGTGGATGGATCTAAGCAGCCTTTTAAATGCAATCCAAGTACTTGGAAATGGTGTTTGAACTCTAATGTACTACAAGAATTTATTGCTCTTTCCTTACTGGAATAGTTGGAAAATTGCCATTCATTCTTATGTTACCCTTTGTCTGCTTAGTTATTTAAACTGGGGATCCAGTAATCATTCTTGAAAATGAATTTGTTGTTGGTTGTTATGCATGATTAGCTTTTCTGTGTAGAAACAAGGCTGCTGCTTTATCAGCAGGCCTACCCAAGTCTCATTAAACTTCACTAAACAGGGTATTTGTAACCAAGTTACAGCTGTGAAATCTTGTTTCCTGTAGGTTTTGTGCAAAGTGAGGGGACAGCTCAGGGTTGTGACCAGGCTGATCACAGCTCAGGGAGCTATGAAACAAAATGGCATGCTGAGTATTTTCCTTTCTCCACTTGTTTTACTGATATATCCATCAGACTTGGGGCAAGCTGACTCCTGCAAGCAAAACCTAGGGAAGGAAGCTCAATGTCTCTTTTTGAAGCCTCCAGCTTTACACCCTCTTCCTCTAGCAGCATTGCTGATGAAGGAGTTGCTGAGCAATTATTTCCTTTTCCAACAAAGAACACAAATGCCCCCCCCTTGGTCTCCACAGCCCACTGGGTTCTACTTCCCCTCAGGCTTGCAGGCAGTGGCAATGATCTGGCCTTTGATCTCTGCACCACAAGTGCTCTCTGACTATTTTCCACCTCGTGTGTTTTTCCATTTTATTGCTGTTTCCATTAGCACTTCAGCTCAGAAGCTTTGATCCCTCATGCCTCTCAGTGTTACTTAATTATGAATAGATAGGTTGACCTATTACATTCAGATATGAGTTAATGCCAGATATTTTTTATATATAAGTGAAATTTGGTGGAGGGGATCCCTTTTTTTACTCCATTTCTAATGCTTCTTGTGTTTAGATGCAGGTAGAACCTGACCACAAGTGGAACAGGTTGTTAGCTCTCCTGTGCAAGTTGGATGCACCCATGTTCCACCATCAGACTCCAAACTTTCTCCACTTCACACTGACTTCCACTCTGTTTGCTCTTCCAATGGTTCCAAGTCCAGTGTAATTTTCACACTCATTAGTCATTTTTGTCTCTGGAGTTTTTCTCCCTTTGCTGTATAAACAAACTGAAGGATGACCAACTGATCAAATGCTTGTACAACAAAAAACAGTGAAATGAGCTGTAGGAAAAGTCATGTCCAATTAAAGAGAGTCTGGAAAAAAAGTATTATTCTGCTTTTTCTCTCATCTATGATGTAAAACTATTTTAAATGAAGGGCAAAGTAAACTTGGAATCTTTTTCCTTTCTTTCACAGAGATGCAGGCCACAAATGTCCAGTAGACAACGAAATCCTGCTGGAAAATCAACTTTTTCCTGACAACTTTGCTAAAAGGGAAATCCTTTCATTAACAGTGAAGTGTCCCAACAAGGGCTGCAGCATGAAGATGGAGCTGAGGCACTTAGAGGTGGGAAATAGTCTGAAAATATTCAGAGTGGGACAGGTGAAATAAAAATTCAACATAATTTAAGATAGTTGATCCTGCCTGATAGCTGTTTATGCTGTTTCAATGTGCTTTGTGCATTCAAAACTACACCTACACACATTTGGGTTTGAGTTAAGTGTAATTAAGTGATTCTCAAGTGACTATTGCAGTGCATGAAAATTCTACTAGTGCAGCTTTCAAGCAGGATTGGCTTGCAGGAAGGAAAGATGGCAACTTGTTCCTCTTGTCCTGAGCTTTATCCTGAAAGCAGATGAGGCAACAGGACCTGTTGGTTGTATCAAATCCCTCTTGTGTCCCTGCACAGGAGCACCAGTCTCAGTGTGATTTCTCCACTGTGGAATGCCCCCAGTGCCAAGGAGCCTTCCAGAAGAACCATCTGAAAGAGCACATGACACAGGAGTGTCCAAGGCGTCAAGTCTGCTGTCCAAACTGTGCCACGTCCATGGCCTATGAAGATAAAGAGGTATTTAGCAGGAGTCTTGAGGTTTTTCAGCCTTCATTCACATGGGTTTGCTTGTAAATGGAACATCAGGTTAAAATTGACCAAGTTTTTGTCTAGAAGAGCTCTTGGTGCTGCACGGGTGAGAAGCTGCAACTTTGGGATGTGGGTCTAGAACAAGGTGAAAGCTGGGGAGAGGACTGTGCTTAAACACAAACTCCTTGGGAACCCTGGGGTGTGGAAAACTTGTGTAAGAACCAGTGGTTTTTTTTGGCTTTACCATCAGAGAGGCTGGTATCTGCTGCCAAAATAACCCACAGAATAATATTTACATTGGCAATTTTCATGCCTGTCAGAAAGTGTCAGTGGTTGCATTGTTTGGAGATGCTCATGTACAAGAGCAAGATCAATTTTTGAGGATGGTCCTTTCTGAGCTTGCATTTCTTTCCCTGTACTTGTTTATGTTTTAGTTCAAGGGCTATCAGTTTTAAGATATGATGTAAATTGTCAAACAAAAATCCCTCATAGTCCAAATATGCAGAAAAAGTCCTTTAATACAGTTCCATCACACTTGAATGTGAATTTCAGTAACTTCTGGGTAAGCTCAGACTCCTTTGGAGCATGAAATCTGTACAAAATGAAATATCTACCACTTTATTCATCTCTTGTATGACTCCAGGAAAAAAGAGTAACTCTAGAAAATGTACTAGTTGGGGTAAGGGGATTGGTTTTGTTTCACAGTTGCATACAGCTAAATACAAAATATGAGATGTAAATAAAAATCTCCCATCTTAGAGGTGATGAGCACTCTTTTTGTGTGACTTCACTGATTCTTTCTCCTCTTCTTCTGTTTGACAACAAAGCTTCATGACCAAACCTGCCCCCTGGCCAATGTCTTTTGTGAATATTGCAACACAGTGCTCATCAGAGAGCAGGTAAGAGAATCCCTTCCTCTGTGTTTCATCTGGGCTGGGTGCTTTGTGTTTACATTGCTTCTTTCATCTGAAATTCAGCTTGAAGAAACAGTTTGTCTACCAGCTAATAAATCTCTACCTTTCTCCCTGGAAACATTCCATCCAGTGCAGGTGTTTTCAATGCTGCTTCAGCTTGCAGGCTGGTAAACTTCTGGAGGATTTTTGGCTGTAAATCCCTTGGTTTAACTACACTGCTTCTTGACAGGGGCTAGGCTGTGTGGTTTTGATCTTAAAGGGAGGTTAAAGAATACCAAGCAGCCTCCAGGGGTTATGGCTGATACTGGAAGACAAGGCTTTGATTTGAGCAGAGAGGGGGGAGAGTATTTGTGATTGGAAAGTAGCTATAAATAATTCACTATCAAAGTGTAGGGGCTGGCTGGAGTTCTGCTTGTCCATTACTATTGCAATAGCCATTATTATTTCATCTACTCAAAATCACTTCTTTCATTGACAGGAGAATGATAGGTGCTATTTAATTTGCAGCCTCTCCCTATTTCAATGAGGTAGCAACTATGTTAATGACCTGGGTTGAAATAAAGAATCATCTTGCCAAATTGGATAAATACTCTGAAAAAAAGGATGGAGAACCATAGAGAAAAAAGGCAGAAATCTATCATTAGAAAAATGAACTGTGAAAATAGGGAACAGAGAATGGTAAATTAGGTAATGGTTTAGAATTCAAGGCTGTCCTGTATTAAGCTTGTGTTCTACTTCATCATGCTATTTGAACAAGGCAAACATGCTGGGTTATATAAACAGGTATTTTGCCTGTGAAACCCAGAATTATCCTTTGCTCTGTTTAGGGTTCATAATGCCTCAGCTGAAGCTGTCCTGCTTTTGGGTGGGGATGGATAGGGAAGAACCAGAGCAGTGAGATAATTTGGTTTGGAAAACACAGGAAATAAGAAGTACTGAAGTAACTTGAGCTTTTTGAAGAAGAGGATAATGAAGAGAGACACAACAAGTATATGCAAGTGGTGCTTCAGAGGGGAAGGACATGGGCAATCATCTCACCTAGGGATAGACTAGATACAGAAGACATTTGTTCCAGCAAGAAAACCCAAATCAGAGCATGATAGGGGCTGGAAGGGACCTCTGGAGATCAGTTCATCAACCCCTGCTGCCAAGGCATGCTCACCTAGAGCAGGTTGCACAGGACCATGTCTGGGCAGGTTTGGAAGCTCTCCATAGGGGGAGACTTCACAGGCTCTCTGGGCAGCCTGCTCCAGGGTTCCATCAGCCTCACAGGGAAGATTTCCCTGATGTTGAGGTGGAACTTCTGTTCCAGCTCGTGCCTATTGCCTTGTCTCTGGGCACCACTGAAAAGAGTCTGGCCCTAGACTCCTAACCCCCACCCTTTAGATACTGATGAGCATCTGGTGTCTCATCTAGGAACAAAGGCAATGAGTTGCTGAAGGAAGACATGAAGTTTTTATCACCAGCTAACATTTTTGCTCAAAACTTCCATATTTCTTTGAGAAATGAAACAGGCATAAGCTGCTCTGACTTGAGGTACCAATCAGAGTCTGTCCAGCCATGCTCTTTTAGGATGTTATAACAGAGTACTCTGGAGGGAATAATTAATTTCAAATCTGTTTTTCAGATGCCTAACCATTATGACAATGATTGTCCTACTGCCCCAGTGCCATGTTTTTACAGTGCCTTTGGGTGTCCTGAAAAGGTAAAGCTTTTATCAGAGCCATGAATTACAGATTTTCTGCTTGGCTTTGTTGTGCTTATTCAATCTGTTTCCCTATTCTTGTCTCATTCACCAGCCCAAATCCTCAGTGATTTGTGGGGTTTATTTTGTTCTGGGTGTCTTAATTCTGTAACACTACATGTTGATATATTGCCTTCCAAAAGTCCTTTATAAATTGAAAAAACTATGAATTATTTGCTTGATGAACTTGCTTTTATTAATCCATGAGTGTTTTCTCAGTAAAGAATTTTTCCAGGGTTGTGACCAAATACAGTTAGGGTTTTTAGGGTTCAGTGAAGAAAACCTGACAGTGCTTTAAATTTAATTAAATGCTAAAATTATTTAATGTGGATACTCTTATTTCCACTTGTTCAATACCTCTTTGTAAAAATGGATCTTTTCCCTTCATAATTTCCTCATCAGTTTTCATACACCTTTGGTTTTGTGTTTTTAGAATATCAACAAAGGGAATAGTGCTGATTTAAAAGATAGGTATTAATTAATTTAACCATTAAATGTATGGTTATCACTAACACTTTTTCACCACATCACTATCTTGAGTTGAACAATATTTGCCCACTGCAACTTCTTTTTTTTATTGGGCATAATGGTGATCTTAAATTTTGAGCCCTCCGTGGGTGCTGCTTTATCAGCTCACCAGTCCTTGATTTGCATCCCAGTTCTTCTCACTTTACAGAAGCAACTGGTGGGACTGGTGGGTTGATTTTCTTCCAGGCCAGGCTGCAGATGGGACTGCAGATGATGTTTGATGTGCCCCTAATGCCCCATCTCTTCCATTCCAGATGCAGAGGAACGAACTGGCGCGACACATGCAGGAGTTCACCCAGGTCCACATGAGAATGATGGCTCAGAGCTTCCAAAACATCAGTGTCACGGCCACAAACCCCGTTCCCTTCATCAACGGCCTCCCCTTCGAGCCTCCCCTCTTCTCCCACGTCTCCCACGCCGCCTACGACTGCAACCCAGAAGTGGAAAACTTCAAAGAGACCATTCAGCAGCTGGAGGGTCGCCTGGTGAGGCAGGATCACCAGATCAGAGAACTGATTGCTAAAATGGAGACTCAGAACGCTCACGTGGCGGAGCTCAAACGGACCATCCGCACCCTGGAGGGCAAGATCACCGAGATGGAGGCCCAGCAGTGCAACGGCATCTACATCTGGAAGATCGAGAACTTCAGCGGGCTGCAGAAGGCCCAGGAGGAGGAGAGGCCTGTGGTGATCCACAGCCCCGGCTTCTACACGGGCAAGCCAGGCTACAAGCTGTGCCTCCGCCTGCACATCCAGCTGCCCAACGCCCAGCGCTGCGCCAACTTCATCTCCCTCTTCGTCCACACCATGCAGGGCGAGTACGACAGCCACCTGCCCTGGCCCTTCCAGGGCACCATCCGCCTCTCCATCCTCGACCAGTCGGAGGGCCCCGAGAGGCAGAACCACGAGGAGGTCATGGAAGCCAAGCCGGAGTTACTCGCCTTCCAGAGACCCACCATCCACCGCAACCCCAAAGGCTTTGGCTACGTGACTTTCATGCACCTGGAGACCCTGAAACAAAGAACCTTTGTCAAGGATGACACCCTGCTGGTGCGCTGCGAGGTCCTCACGCGCCTGGACCTCAACAGCCTCCGCAGAGAAGGGTTTCAGGCTCGCAGCACCGATGGACCCGTGTAGGGTCCGTCCTTCCCCCAGAGGAATGGAACCGCTCGCCACCTTCTGCCACCACAGATGGCAACTGTGCTTCCTTGCCCTTCAAGGATTTGTCAAAGAGCATGGTGGCCAACCAAGCTCCTCTTCACTCGAGCAGAACTTTGGTATGCTTCTTTTTAATGTAGGAGGTCACGTCTTCAAATATTTGGTGGTGTTCTCTATTAAAGGAATAAGCTACTTCTGTAGCAAGCTAACTAAATTAAGTGTTTTCAATCAAAACTCTCTGCAGGAAGACCCTACTGCAGTACCTCTACATCTCCATTGGGTAAAAATTAAATCCTACCAGAAAAGACCTGTAAATCTTCTCACCTCAGTGCCTTGGAATAGATACTGTAGCAGGGAAATGGCTAAATGAATTAAAACTGGGGCAGGGCGTTGGTGTTGGTTTGTTTTGTTTCTCATAGAGCCTGGGAAAGGTAAGACAGTTTCTGTATTGACTTCTCTAGAATTCTGAATTGGCTGTGCTTCTCATGAAATGTGAGGTCAGGTTCAAATTTGGCTCCCATCACCTGAGGTTGACGTGTGCTTTGACCCTCCCCACTTGTGGAGTTGGCTTCAAGAAGCTGCATGATGGGTGCAGAGTTGGTAATGCTTCTGAAAGGCATCTGGTAGTGTTGTGGAGAAGGCCAAGGGACTGGAGCTGAGTTCACTGAAGAAATACTTGTAACGTGGTCTGAAAGTGCTCCCCTAATTCTCTGATAAAATCTCTTTGTAAGTCTACTCAATGCCCAGAGTGTCAGTCACCATCACCAGAGAGGTACAAGTGCACCATTTGAGTGAGACACCTTGTGCTGGTGGGGTCTTCTAGTGCTGGACCTTGTTCAGGTTGTGAGTGGATATGTGAGAAGAGGTCTGGATTAGCTAGATAGACTGATGCAGAACTTTTCTAGTGGTGTTGAAACCTGAATGTGTACTGAAGCTGAACTTGTCACCTGCAGCTCTTTGAGTGATCTCTTGGTGTTCTGGGTGACCTGTGTCACCTCCTGTGAATTCTCAGTGGGCAGCTGGCCACGTCAACATCCAGCTGCTGTGGGTATTTCCTCTCCCAGTAGGTTATGGGACCTGGGCCACCCTCCAAACTTTGGAGGGGAAGAAAAGCCTATTAGCATGAGGGAAAAGGACAATCCTGTTTCTCCTAGGAAAACCAAAATCTGGCTTCCATAGTTACTCGTTCACCAAACACTAGCTGGACTAAGTCAGGGCTTCATGTTATGTATCATTGTTTTCTGTACAGGTGGTTTGGATGCCCTATAAAGGTTAGTTTTGACCAGTCAAAGCTGAGCAGTTGAGGTTCAGAGGTGCTAAAACTTTTAACTTATTATGGTGCTGATAAAGTTCTGAATTCTGCCTTAAAAAGGAGGGAAGAGGAAAGTTGTGTTCACCCTGTGATTTAAGTGTGCAGTCTGATCCTGAAGGAAGAAGTGAGCCACATGGAAGCCTATGTTCCTTCTCCAAGCTGGCCAAGCAACATAAGACATGAGACACTGCAGTTTAAAAAAATACTGAAGAATATTCCAATTATTTGGCCTCATCAAAGCAATCCCATGGGGATCATCAGTGAGGCAAGTGTGTGTGCTTAATGTATGGGAGGGAGGTGGGAGGATACTCTGCCTGCCTCAACTAAATGTTCAGCACCCAGCCTACCATGTTGTTCATATCCAGAGGAGTAAAATTGATTTTGCAGCTAGAACCTGTTGTTTGAAGAGGAATTGTCTGTTGTCACTACTGAGACATGAATTTCCTGGCTAATGGTAAATTCAACCAGGCATTGACTTCAGTGTACTCTGTGCATGAGCATGTCTTACTCAAAGCAGGAAAATATCCATGCCAATTGATCTTTTTAAACCTCTTCAGCATTTTTTACACTGAACAGCCTCCTCCTATTAGCTGAATTGTTTTGGAGTGTCTTCAGTTAGAGCATTCCTAGTAGTTACTTCAGTGCACTCTGTGCATGAGCATGTCTTACTGAAAGCAGGAAAATATCCATGCTTTAAAATGGATCTTTTTAAACCTCCTCAGCATTTTTTACATTGAACAGCCTCCTCCTATTAGCTGAATTGTTTTGGAGTGTCTTCAGTTAGAGCATTCCTAGTAGTTGAACCATTATTTAGTCAAGAGTTTGACAGTGCCCAGATGTGCTGTATACAGAAGCCACTGCACACTTAGTTCTCCCACCATTCTCAAGCTGTGCTGGTCACCCAGATTTTTCCCAGATGCTCAGACTACCATTCACCTCCTTTTTTTTTTCTTTTATTTTTTCTCTGGGAGATGGGCAGAAGAAACCCTTGTCATCTGTCCTCCTTTTTTTTCTTTTATTTTTTCTCTGGGAGATGGGCAGAAGAAACCCTTGTCATCTGACAGCTTCTTCCTGCCACAGGTCCTTTCCCAACCCTAGTGATGTCAACAAAAATGTCCTTGCTCTGTATCCAGGTAGTTCATGCCCCTGCCCCACCAAGTGCATTAATCCTTCTCTTTCCTTTTGGAGCTTTGCTTTTTGCACAAGAGTTTTTGCTTTGAGCCTTATGTGCCTGATCTGTTTTACTTCTGCCTTGGGAGGAAAACTCAATCTGGTGGCAGATTCAGGAGCTGAAATCATTCAGCTTTTCACCTTGTACAATAGCACAAACTGACAGGGAGTGGGAAGCTGCGTGTGTAGTTTGTTGGCCACAGAAAGATGAATGCTTTATTCACTGCTGCTATGTGTACAGAAATGTTGCCCAGTGGAACTCTGAGTGATGCCAAATGACTGTGATGTCAGAGTTTTACATGAGAGGCTTTCAGAGCTCGTTTGCTAAGTATCAGTTAAATCTCTCTGTTACCAAAAAAAACTATAAATGTTAATGAAATGTTTATGAACTGATTTGTTCTCTTCCTCCTTCTCTCAATTTCCAAGCTGCTCATTTTAAGTGCAGTTGTAGAGTGTTCTCTTAATAAGAACATCAGCTAATCATAACTTTGGGGTCTACTTTGTAAGCATGTCAAATGTCCTCATGACTCTTCTCTCTTATTCAAACTTTAAGGTTAGCATGAAGAGATTCAGTTTCTATATGAAAATCTATTTTCATTGCAACAGCCTCTTTTCTTTTCCCTTTCCTCCAAATCTGATCTTGAAATCATTTTTTTTCCATGGTGGATTGAGGTGGAATTGCCAGAACTACTTAAATGGAAGCAGGAAGATGCAACGTTGAGAGTTGTTTCTAAAACTGATGGGAAGAAATATGGGGATTTAACCAGTTCCTGGGTCATTTTTTTTAGGAGTGGGTTTCTTTAGGTCTGTAACTGGTGATGCTTTGCAGCATGACTGGATCTCAAGGTGGTTTAGAAAGTGGCTTTGCTTCTGGCTTCCAAATTTCTCTTGTCTTGAACGTGTTTTAAAGTCAGCCACTCTTAGTATTTTGCAAAGCTGCTATGGCACAGATTTTCCATGTATAATATATTGCAAGTGTTCTCTTTTTTGCCTCTGAATGTCTTCCCCTGCAGGGCAGGGAAAATTATTTGACTAAAGATGTTGGTATGTAATGTATATGTGGGAGCTCAGATAATGTGAGATGTACACACTTGTTTCTAAGTTGTCCCATGATACAAACTGGTCACATTTGCTGTCAAGGGATTAAACTTGCTAAGTGAAATAAAATCAGGGTGGCCTTTCTGTTCTTACCTACAGATGCTTTCACATCAAATGGATAGATGATGGATGCAAAAGGTTATTTTTGGAGTCAGTGTTAAAGGTTTGTACTGGATTGCTTTGGAACAGAATATTGGAAGTATCCATAGATTGTTTAATATATTCTGTAATAATTGCACAGCTATATTTCTGTCTGATTTTTTAAAAAATAAACTAATTAAACCAGGCACTGGGTGTTGCATCTTTATTCATGTGGAGGCCTCCTCAGAAAGATTAACTGATAGAAGACCTTAGTTTCTCTGGTTTGTGGGTTTCAGAATTGTTTGGGGTTTCTTTTAAGGAGGGAGACTGTTATCATATAGCACCAAGAATGTATTTCAAGATAAAAAATCTGCCACTTAGAAAGGGTATCAATAGTTTTAGTCCCTACTAGTAGGGGTGCAATTACTAGCCAGTGTAATTGATACTAAAGTTAAGTGTTCTCATGGCCATCACTTAAGATGCAGCTCTGAAAAACACACCACCACCTTTCTGGCCACATCCTGCTTGCCTGTTATATTTGTCACAGACAGAAGTAGGGGTTGAAGCTTTGCTGCAAGATCCTCAGGTCAGAAACCAAAGGGAGTTCCTCTGTCAATAAGAAATAAGTGGTTTTTTTTCTTGGTGGCAATCTGCTGGTTTATCTCAACCACAGAGGCAGTCTGGATCTGTTTTTTAACAGCATCTGCAGGGAGGGAAGTGTGCATCTCAGACTCCATGCCCTGTGGGGTGTATAGGGTTCAAAACACTCACATTTGTCTGAGGAAACTGGGTGGTGTTTACTACATGTGCTACATCATGCAGTGAAGTTAATATCAAGTTAATTATGACTTTAACTTCCATCCTAGTTGATCTTGGAGCTTCCAGGAGTGATGCACAGCTAAGCATGCTCAGATACCAGCATCTGTTGGGTTACACCTTTTTAATGCTCTCTCTTTTTAAAATCAGTAAATCTTCTTCTAAAGGTGGCCTTTTATTAAGCAGGAAAAATAGCTGTACCCATGAATGGCAAGTCAACATGCAGGAGTAGGAGATGGCAGCAATAAGAAACTAGGTCCATGCTTCTGTAAATAAATCTCATGTACCTGTAGGTTCCTGAGGAAATTTGGCTTTGTCCTTGTGCTGGAGTTAAGCTCTGCTCTGTGCTGCTTCTCCCCTGTAGGTGCTGTGGCTGTTGAGCTGCTTCCAAGACAGCGTTTCCAGAAGTCCACAGAACTTACTAAATTAGCCCTGATGAGGCTGAGTTCATTAGGAACGTGTGGAAGAAATACAAGGTAAGAGAATGGGAGGCTAATGGGCC